GATGTGGTGGTGGTGGTCGTTGATGTGGTGGTGATGGTGGTCGTTGATGTGGTGGTGATGGTGGTCGTAGATGTGGTGGTGATGGTGGTCGTTGATGTGGTGGTGGTGGTGGTCGTTGATGTGGTGGTGATGGTGGTCGTTGATGTGGTGGTGGTGGTGGTTGTTGATGTGGTGGTGATAGTGGTCGTTGATGTGGTGGTGATAGTGGTCGTTGATGTGGTGGTGATGGTGGTCGTTGATGTGGTGGTGGTGGTTGTTGATGTGGTGATGGTGGTCGTTGATGTGGTGGTGATGGTGGTCGTTGATGTGGTGGTGATGGTGGTCGTTGATGTGGTGGTGATGGTGGTCGTTGATGTGGTGGTGATGGTGGTCGTTGATGTGGTGGTGGTCGTTGATGTGGTGGTGATGGTGGTCGTTGATGTGGTGGTGATGGTGGTTGTTGATGTGGTGGTGATGGTGGTTGTTGATGTGGTGGTGATGGTGGTTGTTGATGTGGTGGTTGTGACAACTGCTAGTTGATGGTGGTTGTTAATGTGGTTGATGTGGTGCTTGTGACATGTACGTGTGTGTGCGTGTGTGTGCCAGCCTGCGTTTACACCACAACTTGTGGCGGTAGTGGTTGATGAGTTGTTGGTGATGTGGCTCTTGATGTTATTGGTGGTTGTTGCTGATTGTTGTTGCTGGTTGTTGTTGCTGGTTGTTGTTGCTGGTTGTTGTTGCTGATTGTTGTTGTTGCTGGTTGTTGTTGCTGATTGTTGTTGCTTGTTGTTGTTGTTGCTGATTGTTGTTGCTGGTTGTTATTGTTACTGATTGTTGTTGCTGGTTGTTGTTGTTGCTGGTTGTTGTTGCTGATTGTTGTTGCTGATTGTTGTTGCTGGTTGTTTTTGCTGATTGCTGTTGTTACTGATTGTTGCTGGTTGTTGTTGTTGCTGGTTGTTGTTGTTGCTGGTTGTTGTTGTTGCTGGTTTGTTGCTGATTGTTGTTGTTGCTGATTGTTGTTGTTACTGATTGTTGTTGCTGATTGTTGTTGTTGCTGATTGTTGTTGTTACTGATTGTTGTTGCTGGTTGTTGCTGATTGTTGTTGCTGCTGGTTGTTGCTGGTTGTTGTTGCTGATTGTTGTTGTTGCTGGTTGTTGTTGCTGATTGTTGGTGTTGCTGATTGTTGTTGCTGGTTGTTGTTGCTGGTTGTTGTTGCTGATGGTTGTTGCTGATGGTTGTTGCTGGTTGTTGGTGCTGGTTGTTGTTGCTGGTTGTTGTTGCTGGTTGTTGTTGTTGCTGGTTGTTGTTGCTGGTTGTTGTTGCTGATTGTTGTTGCTGGTTGTTGTTGCTGATTGTTGCTGGTTGTTGTTGCTGGTTGTTGTTGCTGGTTGTTGTTGCTGGTTGTTGTTGTTACTGATTGTTGTTGCTGGTTGTTGTTGCTGGTTGTTGTTGTTGTTGCTGGTTGTTGTTGCTGATTGTTGTTGTCGGCTGTTGTTGTCGGCTGTTGTTGTTGCTGGTTGTTGTTGTTGCTTGTTGTTGTTGCTGGTTGTTGTTGCTGGTTGTTGTTGCTGGTTGTTGTTGTTACTGATTGTTGTTGCTGGTTGTTGTTGCTGGTTGTTGCTGGTTGTTGTTGCTGGTTGTTGTTACTGATTGTTGTTGCTGGTTGTTGTTGCTGGTTGTTGTTACTGATTGTTGTTGCTGGTTGTTGTTGTTATTGATTGTTGTTGTTGCTGGTTGTTGTTGCTGGTTGTTGTTGTTACTGATTGTTGTTGTTGCTGGTTGTTGTTGCTGGTTGTTGTTGCTGGTTGTTGTTGCTGGTTGTTGTTGTTGCTGATTGTTGTTGTTGCTGATTGTTGTTGTTGCTGGTTGTTGATGCTGATTGTTATTGTTACTGATTGTTGTTGCTGGTTGTTGTTGCTGGTTGTTGTTGTCGGCTGGTTGTTGTTGCTGATTGTTGTTGCTGCTGGTTGTTGTTACTGGTTGCTGATTGTTGTTGTCGGCTGTTGTTGTTGCTGATTGTTGTTGCTGGTTGTTGTTGTTGCTGGTTGTTGTTGTTACTGGTTGTTGTTGCTGGTTGTTGTTGCTGGTTGTTGTTGCTGGTTGTTGTTACTGGTTGCTGATTGTTGTTGTTACTGGTTGTTGTTACTGGTTGTTGCTGATTGTTGTTGTCGGCTGTTGTTGTTGTCGGCTGTTGTTGTTGTCGGCTGTTGTTGGCACCGCCGCCGCAGACGTGCGAGTCAGCGTTTGCGACGCGCGACCGCCTTCGCGCCCACATGGTGCGCCACGAGGAGAAGGTGCAGTGTCACGTGTGCTCCAAGCTGCTGAGCCCATCGTACATAGCGGACCACATGCACATGCACAAGCAGGGAGGCCCCCTCGACGGCCTCTGCAGCATCTGCAGCAAAGGTGAGAGAGGGGTGGAGAGGGGTGGAGAGGGGAGAGGGGAGAGGGGTGGAGAGGGGTGGAGAGAGGGGAGAGGGGTGGAGAGGGGAGAGGTTGATGGACACTGAGAGAGACGCACGGGGAGAGACGTACGGGGAGAGACACACGGGGAGAGACACGGGGAGAGACACGGGGAGAGACACGTGGGGAGAGACACAGGGAGACACAGGGAGAGACGCGGGGAGAGAGACGCGGGGAGACACGGGGAGAGACACGGGGAGATGTACGGGGAGATGTACGGGGAGAGACACGGGGAGAGACACGGGGAGAGACACAGGGAGAGACGTACGGGGAGAGACGTACGGGGAGATGTACGGGGAGAGACACGGGGAGAGACGCACGGGGAGAGACACGGGGAGATGTAGACACGGGGAGATGTAGACACGGGGAGATGTAGACACGGGGAGATGTAGACACGGGGAGAGACACGGGGAGAGACACGGGGAGAGACACGGGGAGAGACACGGGGAGATGTACGGGGAGAGACACGGGGAAAGACACGGGGAGATATAGACACGGGGAGAGACACGGGGAGAGACACGGGGAGAGACACGGGGAGAGATGTACGGGGAGAGACATGGGGAGAGACACAGGGAGAGACACGGCGAGAGACACGGGGAGACACAGGGAGAGACGCGGGGAGAGAGACGCAGGGAGACACGGGGAGAGACACGGGGAGAGACACGGGGAGATGTAGACACGGGGAGATGTACGGGGAGAGACACGGGGAGAGACACGTGGGGAGAGACACAGGGAGACACAGGGAGAGACGCGGGGAGAGAGACGCAGGGAGACACGGGGAGAGACACGTGGGGAGAGGCACGGGGAGAGGCACGGGGAGAGACACGGGGAGAGACACGGGGAGATGTACGGGGAGAGACACGGGGAGAGACACGGGGAGAGACACGGGGAGAGACACGGGGAGAGACACGGGGAGAGACACGGGGAGAGACACGGTGAGAGACACGGGGAGATGTACGGGGAGAGACACGGGGAGAGACACGGGGAGAGACACGGGGAGACGTACGGGGAGAGACACGGTGAGAGACACGGGGAGAGACACGGGGAGAGACACGGCGAGAGACACGGGGAGAGAGACGGGGAGAGACACGGGGAGAGACACGGGGAGAGACACGGCGAGAGACACGGGGAGAGACACGGGGAGAGACACGGGGAGATGTAGACACGGGGAGATGTACGGGGAGAGACACGGGGAGAGACACGTGGGGAGAGACACAGGGAGACACAGGGAGAGACGCGGGGAGAGAGACGCAGGGAGACACGGGGAGAGACACGGGGAGAGGCACGGGGAGAGGCACGGGGAGAGACACGGGGAGAGACACGGGGAGATGTACGGGGAGAGACACGGGGAGAGACACGGGGAGAGGCACGGGGAGAGACACGGGGAGAGACACGGGGAGATGTACGGGGAGAGACACGGGGAGAGACACGGGGAGAGACACGGGGAGAGATGTACGGGGAGAGACATGGGGAGAGACACGGGGAGAGACACGGTGAGAGACACGGGGAGATGTACGGGGAGAGACACGGTGAGAGACACGGTGAGAGACACGGGGAGAGACACGGGGAGAGACACGGGGAGAGACACGGGGAGAGATGTACGGGGAGAGACACGGGGAGAGACATGGGGAGAGACACAGGGAGATGTACGGGGAGAGACGCACGGGGAGATGTAGACACGGGGAGATGTAGACACGGGGAGAGACACGGGGAGAGACACGGGGAGAGACACGGGGAGAGACACGGGGAGAGATGTACGGGGAGAGACACGGGGAGAGACATGGGGAGAGACACAGGGAGATGTACGGGGAGAGACGCACGGGGAGATGTAGACACGGGGAGATGTAGACACGGGGAGAGACACGGGGAGAGACACGGGGAGAGACACGGAGAAACACCGTGAGAGACACAGGGAGACATGGGGAGAGATATGGGGAGAGACACGGGGAGAGACACGGAGACGTGGGGAGAGACACGGAGAGAGACATGGAGAGAGACAGAGACACGGGGGGAGAGACAGGGAGAGAGACAGAGACACGGGGGGAGAGACATGGAGAGAGACAGACAGGGAGAGAGACAGACAGGGAGAGAGACAGACACGGGGAGAGACAGGGAGAGAGACAGACACGGGGGGAGAGACAGGGAGAGAGACAGACAGGGAGAGAGACAGGGAGAGAGACAGACAGGGAGAGAGACAGACACGGGGGGAGAGAGACAGACACGGGGGGAGAGACAGGGAGAGAGACAGACAGGGAGAGAGACAGAGGCACGGGGGGAGAGACAGAGGCACGGGTAAACACGATCACACCCTCTCACCCCTCCTCTGACCGCCTAGAGTCGTGTTAGCACATGGGCTGGAGCAGCCCATGTGCTAACACTCACTCTGTCACTCACTCACTCTGTCACTCACTCACTCTGTCACTCACTCACTCTGTCACTCACTCACCCTCTCACTCACCCACTCACTCACTCACCCTCTCACTCTGTCACTCACTCACCCTCTCACTCTCTCACTCACCCTCTCACTCTCTCACTCTGTCACTCACTCACTCTGTCACTCACCCTCTCACTCTCTCACTCTGTCACTCACTCACTCTGTCACTCACCCTCTCACTCACTCTCTCACTCACCCTCTCACTCACTCACCAACTCACCCTCTCACTCTGTCACTCTGTCACTCACTCACTCACCCACTCACTCACTCTGTCACTCACTCACTCACTCACCCACTCACTCTGTCACTCTGTCACTCACTCACTCTGTCACTCACTCACTCTGTCACTCACTCACTCACTCACCCTCTCACTCACCCTCTCACTCTCTCACTCACCCACTCACTCACTCTGTCACTCACCCTCTCACTCACTCACTCACCCTCTCACTCTGTCACTCACTCACTCTGTCACTCTGTCACTCTGTCACTCACTCACTCACTCTGTCACTCACTCACTCACTCACCCACTCACTCTGTCACTCTGTCACTCACTCACTCACTCACCCACTCACTCTGTCACTCTGTCACTCACTCTCTCACTCTCTCACTCACTCTCTCACTCACCCACTCACTCTCTCACTCACCCACTCACTCTCTCACTCACCCACTCACTCTCTCACTCTGTCACTCACTCTCTCACTCACCCACTCACTCTCTCACTCACCCTCTCACTCTCTCCCTCACCCTCTCACTCACCCTCTCACTCACCCTCTCACTCTCTCACTCACTCTCTCCCTCCATCTCTCACCCTCTCACTCTCGCTCACCCTCTCACTCACCCTCTCACTCACTCTCTCACTCACTCACCCTCTCACTCACCCTCTCTCTCATTCACTCACCCTCTCACTCACTCACCCTCTCACTCTCTCACACTCTCACTCACCCTCTCACTCTCTCACTCACTGACCCTCTCACTCACTCTCTCACTCTCTCCCTCACTCTCTCTCACACTCTCACTCACCCTCTCACTCACTCACACTCACCCTCTCACTCACTCACCCTCTCACTCTCTCACACTCTCACTCACCCACTCTCTCCCTCACTCTCTCTCACACTCTCACTCACCCTCTCTCTCTCACCTTCTCACTCTCTCACTCTCTCACTCACTCACTCACCCTCTCACTCACCCTCTCACTCACTCACCCTCTCTCTCACTCTCTGACCCTCTCACTCACACTCTGACCCCTCTGACCTCTCCCCCCCCCCCCCCCCCCACACGGCAGAGTCGTGCAAGCACATGGGCTGGAGCAGCCCCGAGAAGAAACACCCTTGCCCGCAGTGCGGAACCCTCTTCAAGACCAAGTCGCACCTCAACCGTCACGTGCAGCACGTCCACCTGGGCAAGTCCAAATCCTCCTCCTCCTCCTCCTCGTCGGTCGTCGTCGGAGGAGGAGGAGGAGGAGGAGGGGGGGGCGTGCCGGGGGGCTCGGCGGGGGGGGTCAAGTCCGGGGGCGTGGGGGGACCGCCCGTCGCCCCGGGCTACCTTCCGGCGACGGCGGCCGCGGCCGCGGCCGCGGCCGCGGCGGCGGCGACGCACCACGGGATGTCCGTCCTGGAGTCGTTTGGCTACCAGGTGTGAGGGGACACACGTACGTACACACACACACGCACGCGCACACACAGACACACGCGCACACACAGACACACGTGGTTGTGGGTGTGGGACACACACACACACGTGGGTGGGTGTGGGACACACACAGACACGTGGGTGTGTGTGGGACACACACACACACAGACGTGGGTGTGGGACACACACACACACGTGGGTGGGTGTGGGACACACACACAGACGTGGGTGTGGTACACACACACACAGACACGTGGGTGGGTGTGGGACACACACACACAGACGTGGGTGGGTGTGGTACACACACACACACACACGTGGGTGTGGGACACACACACAGACACGTGGGTGTGGGACACACACACACACACCACACACGTGGGTGGGTGTGGGACACACACACACACACAGACGTCGGTGGGTGTGGTACACACACACGTGGGTGGGTGTGGTACACACACACACACAGACGTGGGTGGGTGTGGGACACACACACACACACAGACGTGGGTGGGTGTGGTACACACACACAGACACGTGGGTGGGTGTGGTGCACACACAGACACACACGTGGGTGGGTGTGGGACACACACACACAGACGTGGGTGGGTGGGTGGGGGACACACACACACAGACACACGTGGGTGTGGGACACACACACACACACGTGCGTGGGGGGGGGGGGGTGGGACACGTACGTACACACGCGGTTGTGGGGGTGAGGTGTGAGGGAGAGAGTTGGCGGGGCAGGCAGTGGGGAAGGGGGTGAGACGGGGGAAGGCGGAGGGGGAGAGAGCGTCAAGGGGGGCCAGTGGGGGAGGTAGGAGGGAGACACTGGGGGGGAGGGGGGCGATACACGGGGGGGGGGGGGGGGGGGTGGTGCGAGAGGGGAGGGAGACACATGGGGAGTGGGGGAGTAGCTCAGGGTGGTGGGCGTGAGTCACACACACAGACACAGTGACACACGGACATAGGATCATCTCGCACGAATGATGATGTTGCTCCTGATGATGTTGGTGAAAATTATGACGATGATGGTGGTGGTGGTGGTGACGGCATTGATGGTGCTGCTGCTGATGATGATGATGATGGTGGCGGTGCTGATGGTGGTGGCGTTGATGGTGCTGATGATGATGGTGGTGGTGGTGGCGTTTATGGTGCTGAAGTTGATGATGGTGGTGGTGGTGGTGGTGCTGATGGTGCTGATGATGATGATGGTGGTGGTGGTGGTGCTGATGGTGGTGGCGTTGATGGTGCTGATGTTGATGATGGTGGTGGCGTTGATGGTGCTGATGATGATGTTGGTGGTGGTGACATTGATGGTGCTGCTGATGATGATGGTGGTGGTGGCGATGACACCGATGATGAAAATGATGATGACAACATTGCTGATGATCCTGCTACTGATGTTGATGCTGATGATGATGTCTGTACCATGTCACTAATGCTAATGTTGCCCCTGTTACTGCTGCTGCTGCTACTGCTACTATCTCTGCTGTTGATACTACCTCTGCTACTGCTGCTACTGCTGCTGCTACTATCTCTGCTATTGATACTACCTCTGCTACTGCTACTACTATATCTGCTATTGATACTACCTCTGCTGCTGCTACTATCTCTGCTATTGATACTACCTCTGCTACTGCTGCTGCTACTATCTCTGCTGTTGATACTACCTCTGCTGCTGCTGCTGCTACTACTATCTCTACTATTGATACTACCTCTGCTGCTGCTACTATCTCTGCTGTTGATACTACCTCTGCTACTTCTGCTGGTACTATCTCTGCTGTTGATACTACCTCTGCTGCTGCTACTATCTCTGCTATTGATACTACCTCTGCTACTGCTGCTGCTACTATCTCTGCTATTGATACTACTTCTGATACTGCTGCTGCTACTATCTCTGCTATTGATACTACTTCTGATACTGCTGCTGCTACTATCTCTGCTGTTGATACTACCTCTGCTACCACTGCTGCTGCTGCTGCTACTATCTCTGCTGTTGATACTACTACTGCTGCTGCTACTATCTCTGCTGCTGCTACTCTCTCTGCTGTTGATACTACCTCTGATACTGCTGCTGCTACTATCTCTGCTGTTGATGCTACTGCTGCTGCTACTATCTCTGCTGTTGATGCTACTGCTGCTGCTACAATCTCTGCTGTTGATGCTACTGCTGCTGCTACAATCTCTGCTGTTGATGCTACTGCTGCTGCTACTATCTCTGCTGTTGGTACTACCACTGCTGCTACTGCTGCTGCTACTATCTCTGCTGTTGATGCTACTGCTGCTGCTACAATCTCTGCTGTTGATGCTACTGCTGCTGCTACTGTCTCCGCTGTTGGTACTACCACTGCTGCTACTGCTGCTGCTACTATCTCTGCTGTTGATGCTACTGCTGCTGCTACTGTCTCCGCTGTTGGTACTACTGCCGCTGCTACTATCTCTGCTGTTGATGCTACTGCTGCTGCTACTATCTCTGCTGTTGGTACTACCTCTGCTGCTGCTACTATCTCTGCTGTTGATACTACCTCTGCTACTGCTGCTGCTACTATCTCTGCTGTTGATACTACCGCTGCTACCACTGCTGCTGCTGCTACTATCTCTGCTGTTGGTACTACCTCTGCTGCTGCTACTATCTCTGCTGTTGATACTACCTCTGCTACTGCTGCTGCTACTATCTCTGCTGTTGATACTACCGCTGCTACCACTGCTGCTGCTGCTACTATCTCTGCTGCTGCTACTATCTCTGCTGTTGATGCTACTGCTGCTGCTACTATCTCTGCTGTTGGTACTACCGCTGCTACCACTGCTGCTACTGCTGCTGCTACTGTCTCCGCTGTTGGTGCTACCGCTGCTACCGCTGCTGCTACTGCTGCTGGTGGTGCAGGTGGTGCAGTCGGCGTATGCCACAGCGGCGGCAGCTGGAGTTGACCCTGGACAGGGGGCCACGGCGATCAACCAGTAATGGAGTCAATGCTGCAACACAGCTCCCTCTGTGTGGGTGGGTGGGTGGGTGAGGGTGATGAGTGAGTGAGCGAGCGGGGGGGGTGGTGGAGGGGTTAGCGGGCGGGTGGGTGGGCGGGCAGGTTGGTGAATGTTTCAGTGGGCGAGTGAGAGGGCGAGTGAGCGGGTAGGTGAGTGGAGAGTTTGGTGGGTGGGTTAGTGATAGGGTGAGTGAGCCGGGCGGGTGGGTGAGTGGGTGGGAGGGTGAGTGAGCGAGCGGGTGGGTGAGTGGAGAGTTAGCTGGGTGGGCAGGTGGGTCAGTGAGCGAGTCGGTGGGTGAGTGGGTATAGGTGGGTGAGTGGATATAGGTGGGTGAGTGGATATAGGTGGGTGAGTGGATATAGGTGGGTGAGTGTGGTGGTGAGCAAGTGAGTTAGCAAACGGAAGTTACAATCCAACCTCATGCCGTCTTCAAGATCACTTGGTGGCCATCTTGAAACAGCAGCTGTTGATGGCCTCCTTGAGTCACCTGTGACGACAAGATCTTGGTGGCCATCTTGAGTCACCTGTGACGACAAGATCGTGGTGGCCATCTTGGACAAGTGACCACTCCGTTGGCGGCGATCTTGGACGAGTGGCTGCCCCGTTGGTGGCCATCTTGGACAAGTGGCTGTTGGTGGCCATCTTGGACGAGTGACTGCCCCGCTGGTGGCCATCTTGGACAAGTGGCTGTTGGTGGCCATCTTGGACGAGTGACTGCCCCGTTGGTGGCCATCTTGGACAAGTGGCTGTTGGTGGCCATCTTGGACGAGTGACTGCCCCGTTGGTGGCCATCTTGGGCAAGTGACCGCCCCGTTCGTGGCCATCTTGGACAAGTCACCGCCCCCATTGGTGGCCATCTTGGACGAGTGACTGCCCCGTTGGCGGCCATCTTGGACGAGTGACTGCTCCGTTGGCGGCCATCTTGGACGAGTGACTGCCCCATTGGCGGCCATCTTGGACCAGTGACTGCCCCATTGGTCATGTTGGGCGAGGTGGATGGGCGGCCATGTCGGGCGAGGTAGATGGCGGTCGGCGGCCATGTCGGTCGAGGTAGATGGCGGTCGGCGGCCATGTTGGTCGAGGTAGATGGCGGTCGGCGGCCATGTTGGTCGAGGTAGATGGCGGTCGGCGGCCATGTTGGGCCAGGTGGATGGCGGTCGGCGGCCATGTTGGGCCAGGTGGATGGCGGCCATGTTGGGCGAGGTGGATGGCGGTCGGCGGCCATGTTGGGCCAGGTGGATGGCGGTCGGCGGCCATGTTGGGCCAGGTGGATGGCGGCCATGTTGGGCGAGGGGGATGGCGGTCGGTGGCCATGTCGGGCGAGGTAGATGGCGGTCGGCGGCCATGTTGGGCCAGGTGGATGGCGGCCATGTTGGGCCAGGTGGATGGCGGTCGGCGGCCATGTTGGGCCAGGTGGGGTGGCGGCCATGTTGGGCGAGGTAGATGGCGGTCGGCGGCCATGTCGGGCGAGGTAGATGGCGGTCGGCGGCCATGTCGGGCGAGGTAGATAACGGTCGGCGGCCATGTTGGTCGAGTTATTTGGCGATTCACTCCGAACTCGGCGGGAGGAACGGGCTAGGGTTGTTTTTTGGTGGTCTAACTGAGTAAGTTGATGACGACGACGACGATGAATGGAGTTTGTAAGCTGGCCGATTGCCGCCGGCTTAGCGCGCGGGGGGGGGATAACAAGGAAGCAAAAGCTGCTCGGAGCGCAGCTTTTTCCCCACACTCGCTCACTCACTCGCTCGCTCGCCCGAGACAAAAACGTGAAGACCCAGAGAGAGAAAAATCCACGCAGTTATCACCACGGTAGGTGAGGGGGGCTGGGGGCTGGGGAGAAGAGACCGAGAGAGAGAGAGAGAGGGAGAGAGAGACGGAGACTCCCAACACGTACA